CATTTATGGTTTGATTTCTTTGTATGTATGGATCACTTGGGTTGTTACCAACATCTGGTGAAAATTTCATGTCATTAGCACCTCTAGTGATATATTTACTGAGAAAAATGGTGACGTATTCAATACTTATTTTACCCGCTGTATATCTCTGAGCTGCTCTGTAAATGTTATTTACCTGAGTACACCTCGCCTTGTTTAGTTTCACCTGAGACCTACCTGAAGATCATCTGGCACCTGGTGGAAAAACCCGCCTGTCTGCCTCTCACCTATCTGGTAAAGACTCACCTGCTCTCTCCAAGATACTCACCAGCCTCCTTTACCGATCTGAGGCCTATTGCACAAATCTATGATAAGGGATTAAGTCAGGATTTTGGTGTAAACCTGAATTAATTAAGCCTTGAATTGGTTGCATGAGCTACGAAGCACTTATGTTTCTGTGGTAACAAGTGCTCTGAAACTAACCTGGTCCTGATCAGGTTTAAAGTGAAGCTTATTTAATCTGTTAGTGTTTTTGAGCAGACAGTCATTTTACTGCAGAAAACTGTTCCTCTAACCAAGTTTTACAGTCTTATATCAGCTAAAAGTATTTTAATCTTGTTTTTAGACCGATATACTAAACAAGATCAGAATATGTTGGATTATTAATCTTGTTAATCTGAAAAGTTTTTATTTTTACGTTAAGAAGTGCAACTGTCAAACTGCAGATTATTAATTATTATTAATTTGAAAAGAATAAGGATCTAATCTAGTAGTTTTAACTTTTTAGATAGCTAATTTTTGTAGTGTCGGATCAGAAATCAGTTCTTCATACACTTTTTTCATTGCATTAAAATATTACAGAGTAAATATATTTATTTAATTTATTTATCAGATTATCCATGAAAAAGAATAATAAAAAAAGACTTAACCTCAGCTTCACCTTTAAAATAGTCGTTATAATAATATGACAAGTTTTCCCCCTTCTTTGTGCTGCTACAGGCCACACCCCCTCCACCACCTCAGCACCTTCCCACCCCTGTCCCCCCCAACACACACGCACCTGGAACTACTGCTCACAATCCACTGCATATAAACATTACCTTTTATCTACTCAGTCTGTTTGCTGCCGCTCACACACCTTTAGGCTGATTAAATAATAAACAACATAAAGGTGATCTAGGAGGGCCGAAACCCATCAAAACCTCCAAAAACAGGTAATATGGGTCAAAGAAAAAAGCAGAAAAAAGCTAAAATCTGCAAAAACAAAAGCTGAAATTAAGACAAATAAGTAAAAAAAAAAGAACCAGAGCAAAAGGTAAAAAACAAGAGTGAAGATTTATAAACATTTTGAATGATTTTAAGGATGTTGAAGACAACTTCACTCAATTGCAATTAATACAAAATAATAA